CGAAACCAAAAGAGTATCACTATCAACACCATAAAAAATTCTTTCAAATCCGTGAACTCGGGGGGCGGGGCAACCTCAGCCAAATTGGTCAGACTATTCACATGGTAACTACAAGGTTACAAGTTCGACTATCAGCGGGAGTGGCCTATTGGTCTTCTTTGTTTGAGCCGGTCATGTATGGCAACCTAAGCTGGTTTACTTCCTTGTGGTCCTTTGTAGGCTAGGGTCACAAGGCAGGTTTTACCTAGCGCACACACTCAGGTAGTGGCTACGGGTTTCCCTTGTCACTCAAAAAACATACCATCTAATTTTAAAACACTTCTTTTCATGGATCCTAGCAGCCATACGGTGACTAAATGCATTCACTAGAAAAAATTTTAAGCACAAACAGAGGTAACGAACAAACTCGTAAGCCTGGACAGAAAACTAAATAAATTAGTAGATAGCTCTCATGGTGATGGAGAAGACTAAACAATAATTCTAAATCTGTTTTATTTTTACCTCAATTCAACTGGGGTAGCAACAAAGTTAGCCAGCATCACTGTCGGAGCATGACACAGAGATCCAAGTAATGCAACAGCCAGTCCACATAGAAATACAGCAACACCTATGAAAGGACATATGATTGGAAATCAGGAATACTGTCACCATTATCAATGAAATCCACTTGAAAAACTCAAGACACATCGGATCCATGAAATAGTCTCATAGCAAAGAATATAAAGAAAACAGCAAAAGGAAGCATATTCTGAAGTGCATAAAGAACTGGGGGGAAGAAGAAGAGAATAGGGAAATGAACTCATAGTGCATTTTGACAGATTAAATGGAACATTAAAACATACCGCAAATGGGGAAGATTCCCAAGGTAAAGCCAAGAGCAGCGGAGAATGCCAATTGCTTAGGCTCAGCTCCCCTTAAAAACACAACCATTCATTGAAATAAGCAGATTTAACAATGAAAATAAATACCAAATCCTTTTTTCTTCACTTCTCTTATTAGCACCAAAACACCAAATTCAAATAACCAAAAATCCCTAGAGGAGGTACCTGCGGAGGATTTGGAGAAGAGGGTCGCCGATCTTCTTCCGAAACCAAGTGCCCACTATGAATCCAACCCGTTGTAGCCCGTTCGCCATAGCTGTTCTTCGCAAGATCCTTACTTTATCCTTGAATCGAATTGGGGAGCTCAAGCATATGCCAATTTCTTATGTAAATTTCACCCTGCGAGTTCTCAGAATGCTGAAATTTTTTGAAACACTGATTCAATCTCACAACTTCTCTTGTGAATTCGAACCAATTGTAACTTCTTTTCTATCAGGATTGGGACCTTCCCGCGGGAATTTATTATGATATTATAGTAATTTGTCCCCTCATTTATTTCTTTTTTGCAGGCAGATCAGTTGGGTCAAGTGAATTCTTAACTTTGTTCCCAAACTAACTTGCTTGATTGAATGGGGAAGGAGGGAGAGAAGATTTGTTGACAGTTGATAGATTGGGAACGATGTCGTTTTCTGCACAATTTAAACCCATCTGCCATGGCTGGTAAATTTGGATTAAACAAATAAAAAAAAAATCACTTACAAAATGGTTAGTTTCCTATAGGACCATTTTATGGGAAACGAAAGGAAATATGTAAAAGGAACTCAAGATGGAATGTACTTTTTATAGTTTTGTATGGTGCATTTTACATTTTTTGATTTGTACTTTCAGATATTATAAAGGGGTATTTGTTAAATAGTTGTTAACTAATTGAGTGATTGGGTTCAGTAGGTTGAGAAAGCATATGAACAGATACTACAATGTAATAGAGCCAGTAGTATTTAAAAAAAAAATTGAGTGATTGGGTTAGTAGGTTTGACTAATTGACAGCATTAGTTTATAGTAAAAAGATGTTAGGTAAATTGACTATTAGCTATGGTTGATTACGTGTAAAATAATTTTTTTTTTTTTAAAAATTGATTGAAAAAATTACTTTGAACAATTTTTTGAATTTTAACGTTTTGGAGTAATAAGATAGTACAAAAAATTAATTAATCAAACATTTATTAATCAAGTCAAATAACTAATAGTAATCAAATATGTTAAAATTAACTAATAAGTTAAGTATGTTACGTCAAAGTATACTTTTGTAGTTTGTGCGGTGTATTTTAGCATTTGTACATAAATGCCACTTGTCAGTTGATTGTTCTCTTGTTGTTTGAATTATATAAATAGGGATGGCAATTGAACCCGCCCCCAATGGGGAAAACCGTTCCCCGCCCCGACGGGGATGGGTTCGGGGATTTATTTCGGGGAACGGGGGCGGGGATGGGGGGAATTTTTCAATCCCCGTCGGGGACGGGGACGGGGACGGGGAGGGCATTCCCCGCCCCGGCCCCGACCCCGATCCCCGCCCCGTCGCCGAATCCCTGACTAATAATATTAATATTATATATAAATTAATATCTCTCTTGTATATATTTAATCATATTCTTGAATTTCCATGTAATTAGTATTCTAGTTTAGGTACATACATTTTATGTTCATTGTTACCGTAATACCGTACATATATCTTGTATAAATAGGCTATGTTTATTTGTTTAAATTATTATTGAACATCAATGTATTATATTCTTCATTCTCTATCTCTGCATATTCTCATGGTATTAGTAGATGATTTTTTTTTTTCATCTTTGCGATTTAAGATTTTTCCTTAACAAAACTGTGTTTCTCTAGTTTTGTTAAGAATGCATATTATATTATGTGTGTTTTTAAAAAAAAAAAAAAAAAAAAAAGTAAGCATGAATCAAAACGGGGCAGGGATTCCCCGTCCCCGAAAAATCCCCGCGGGGACGGGGATGGGGAATAATTCCCCATCCCCGCCGGGGAACGGGGCGGGGACGGGGAATGGGGGGACATTTCAGGGACGGGGACGGGGACCCCATTCCCCGCCCCCGCCCCGCCCCGTTGCCATCCCTATATATAAAGTATTGTTGACCCTTATCTCTATAATAATCTATGTAACTAAATATACTATGTATCACTTGATTGTCTCTTGTTGTTTGAATTATATAAAGTATTGTTGACCCTTATCTCCATGATAATCTATGTAACTAAATATACTATGTATAGTTATATGTAATACGAAAATCTATCGGTGCTAATTAATACCTCGTAAAAAACTTTTCATTTTGAAACAAAACATTTTTTAAACTATGTTATAAGAGATTCTAACAATTTTTTTTATGAATAAAAAAAACTTGTAGTTACTATTTAAGAATATGTATTGGATAATTTTTGTTACATATATTACACCGTAAAGACTTTGTGCGATTGAAAAATTGGTGATAATAATAAAATTGGTATTTTGTGATATTTAAATAAATGCCATAATCATGGGTGATTTAAAATTTTGGTTGTTGTTTGATAACAGAATGACAGGACAAAGGGAATCTGCGTCTCACTCACTCCCACGGCATTTATTGCATATCGTGCAAGCAAATTTAGTTTTAAAAATGCAAAACATGCCTGATGCACCGTCTTTAAGTTTGTTTATTTAGTACTCAGAAATGAATAATAAGCATAAGCATTTTTTAACGTGTTTGGATGCATTTCCTTTTTTTATGATGAGAAAAAATTATGATTATTAAGTGTATATTTTGTTAGAATGTAATATACGCGTATATGAGTTATTACTGTCCCCATGAGAATCGAATTTATGATCTTTCATTTAAGAGAATCACTTCGTGTTACTAGATCACAATGTTATTGGTAAGTAAATCTAGCTTATTTGCTTATTTGTAATATTTCATAAATGATTGTATTTACTTCTCTCCAATACTTGAATTGGATTCATGATAAATTATGACAGAACACTTTTGTTAGGTACAATGTTGAAAAAATCGCTACGCGCCTGAGGACTGTCTAGGGCGCCTAGGAAGCCGACAGCCTAGCACCTAGACGCCGATTAATCGACACCTAGACACGATTTTTGCAACATTGGTTGAGTATGAAACCCAGAGTCCATGAGAAAAGCAAGCACTTACTCTATTTGGTATTTTGGTTAATGAAATCAATTATAAGGGAAGATAAGAATGATAAAATGTAATGTTGGTGAGTTCACTCTTTTGAAATACAAATGTAGATACAATTGTCGAACATTTTGTACCAAGAGTTAATCACCATTTTAGTCGCTCAATTGTTTTCCAACTATCAATGTAGTCCTTAATTTTCAATTCGAATTCTTTAAAATTTCGTCAATTAAACGCTTTCAGTGATCAAAATTTTTTACATTTTTTAAAATTTTGTCAATTTGATTTCTAGAAGGGTTTAATTAAAATTTTTTTAAACAATTTGATTATCAAATTAATTGAAATTAAAAAGATCAAAATAGTGATTTCCCATTTTCCCCTATCAAAAGAGAGTCCGTGTCCATATGTGGAGAGCACGATATGTCTTAGTGTCTGCCTCACTTTTCTTGTACTAACACCATATTAAAGGGCGTGCTAGACATGTTTTGGCTTCATATTTGTCTCTTTATCTAACAAATAACTTTTTCAACTTAACTGAATTCATATATCATAACACAAACAACTTAGTTTCAATATCATGGCTTTTTATAAAGTAAGACGTTAAATTAAAATTGAACTATTTTAGTGTCAAATGATTAACCATTTCTTATTCTAGTATCTTATTTTCTTGTTTATTTTTATATGATTGTGAAAATTCAATAGCATAAGAAACTCTTTGGAGTAATATATTAACTAAACTTTCCAATAAGATGGTTTTATGCCCAACTATTAAAATTATAAAATAAAAAAGACGGTAACATTTTTGTAAATAATTGTTATTCTATTTATAAATTGTATCTTGGTGCAGTAAAATTTTTCTATAAGATTATACTTTATCAATGTGTAAATATTAACTCTTCTTATATTATTAAATAAATTGTTATTATATTAACTATTTGTGCTTCAGTATGTTGAGAAAGTAGATGTAACAGAGTTAGTAGTACTCAAAAAAAATATTGGAGTGGCTATCATATTATGCTTGAAACTTGAAAACAAAGAAAGAGTCAAGAATTTGGCCAGAGACGAGAGCTGACCATCAGTATGGGACGTGGGACAGAAGGAGCAGTGGGAAGAGGGCATTGTTATATGAACAGGAAAGTTTTTCATCCTATATTTGTCAAAGATGGGAATGGATGAGACCATACCAGCAAGTAGTCTATGCTCCATGGCGATTTTGCAGAAAATCTGGTGGTTTAAGTGCACAATAGAGCGTTTAATTCATTCCTTGTCATTGTGCAAACAAAGAAAAGCCATCTCCAAGGCATTGTGTCCTTGCGTCTTGCATGACACGCTTTAGTGCAGAGGGGTTGCTAGTGACAATGGCGTCTGCGTGCTCAATTAGCACTTTCTTCATGGACTCTTCGTCATCGACAGTCCATGCATAAACCTTCTTGTTTCTCCTGTTAGATTGAGCATATTGAAGGGCAGAAGTGTTAAGGTTAGATGAGGAATGTGATGTACCAAGAAACAAAAGGGCGTGCTTGTGATGTGCTGAATTATACAGGAATGGAGGGAGTAGTATATAGAGGTCATACGCGTGAAGGATTTTCACAAGTTTGTTGTCGATTAAAGGATGGTATACACCAACCACCCCTGCACCTTTCATCCTCAGTAATTGCGATCTAGTTCCTGTTGAAGGGTCCATCATGACAATGTAACCAACCTGTAATGCCACCAAAAAATGCAGGAAGGTAGATTAGCCACAACAGAAGTTCTGGTGCAGCAACCAGAGAAGATTATGCACAGAAAGAGAGAGCAGGCTACTATACCATGGCATCTGGTGCCAGACTCAGCACATCTCTTGGAATGCTGTCACTTTTTGCCCAAACAACACAATTCTTGCACCCTAATTTTTCATACTGGAAAAGTTGGACAAAGATTCTCAGAACTGGTAAGCAGATAACTCATTCAAAACCTGATATAGGACAAGTTTGGGTTGACTTTGCTTACAATCGAGCAGTTGGCAAAAGCAGAAGAGTAGGGATGTTATGTTAGGTCTGACTTTTTTAAAGACCGATTGGGGCTTGTCAGGTACATACTTATAGGCTCAATGACATCCTAAAAGCTAATTCTAGGACATATAAAAAGTACTCCAACTTTTCTTTTCTTGGTTCAATTTTATTTATTTATTTTTAATGGAGTACTTATACTCTTATAGAGCTGAGATTGATGTTTCATACACTAGAAAAAACAATGTAGTGCGCTAGAAATAAAAGATTAAGTATGGCAAACTTACAGAAGAAACAACATCGCCAGCAAGTCCTTTTTCATACAAAGGAGGGCCAATTTTTATATCTAGAATTACTTGCTGAACTGAGCCTGATATCAACTGAATAAATTCAAACACCAAAACCAAAACCAGTAAATATTTAATGAAAAATTATATCAGAAGCCAATTAAAATAATTTCATGCATGTACTCTGCAGTGTTATAACAAAGAATTCAAGTGAAAAAACAGAGCAATCCTAATAGCTAGCTTAATACTCCATGTAATGGATTGCTGGGAATTTCCCTTCCCTTTCTGAAGCAGAGACTAGAAGAAGAGAAGAGTGAACAGAAAGGCAGCAGTGTACTTCATCCTGTAAGCACCCTAGAGAAGAAAGGGCATCAAAATATACTAAAAAGTCAGGGAAGTACCTTGAGGGCATCTTCAACTGTAGGAACTCCCAAATCATGATACATCTGTTGAAGCTTGTGACTTGCAACAAGCTCTTTAATCTACAACCACAAACTAAATATGATCTCATTCAACATCATTTTCATAATTCCAAGCAAACTAGACAAAGTGAACAATGGATGTATTCTCCACAAGGCTTGAAAGTAGGCCCAAGTCATTGTCTCTCCTGAATGGATCAATTCCATACACTTATAACAAAAATAGAAAGCCAAACCTATCAAAGAGTAGTATCAAGAGGTAGATTCAATTTTGAACTTTGACACAAAAATTCAAATGTGCCACAAGTACATCGTTGAATAGTGCAAATACCAGTGGGTGTTAACTAAAGGGGTAATGATAAAATTTCTCACAGGGAAACAAATGTTGATGGGTAATAGTGTCACAAAAGAAAACTGACAACACAATGATAATCATGCATCCCTACTTTCCTGTTTTTACTTATTTGTTCTGTGTTCCAAAATATTTAGTGTTGATGTAAATAATGAGTTAACTGCTATATGAGATAAACTATGTCAATCAATGGGAAAAAGAAAGTAGCAATTCCCACCTCTTTTGAGCTCAAGTACCCAACCTTGGATGTGTCATTCCCAGATATTCGCTGCAAATCCCTGCCTGCACAATGTGAGAATCAATGTTCCAGAATTTTAACAAATAGCAACAACCAATCTTTATTTTCAGGCATGATAAACTACCACAAAATATTTCTAGAGAGACAAGTGCTTATATACCTGTCATGAAGAGCAAACAGAACTCCATCAGAAGAACGAGAAACATCAACTTCAATACAGTCTACCTGAGAACTGAGAGCAATCTGGTATGCAGTTATCTGTCAAAAGAAATTTGTAAAAATCGCCAAAAAATTATTAGAATAATGATAGCACAACTGGAAACCGTAAAATATTAATAACAATTTTAGTATGAGAGGCAATGCTCCTTCTGCTCCATATTCTCATCTTTTTAGGAAAATGAAATTCTTAATGTATGTGGTGAAGTGTTAAGGAAGTCTAAGCATTGTCACCACTTACAATAATTCAAATGGAATAAGAGCATTAATAATGATCAAAGAAAAACACAAGAAAATAATGCTGATTGTGACAAATAGTTAATGCAGTCAACTAGTCAAATCAGCTAACTCCTCAGGCCTCAAGCCTCAAATATATAACTGGAAACAGAACCTTGGGGGTGGAGTGGGTGGGGGGGGGGGGGAGAGAGAGAGAGAGAGAGAGAGAGAGAGATTCATCCCCATTGAAGATTAACTACAAAGAAATATAAAACAATTTCTTTTAAAATTGCCTCTCCATCTTGGAATGGAGTACAAAATTGCACCCCTGATAAAAGATGAAGGTTCAAATTGCATATCCATTGGAGCTGCTGTTGCGTTGTCTGCAGTGGGATCATTTTACTAGTTTGACGCTAGATTAAAACAGAAAACCCCTAAATAGTATACACACAAAGATATATATACAAGCACACTATTAAACAAGAATACACTGCATAAAATAATTTTCTATACTTTCATTTATGAAACTAAATGCTGAAAATCACACACACACAAAGTTAGTTGCTACTAGAATAGTTGATCAATTTTGAGAACCTAAAGCATGAGTCAACCAATTACATATTAATGCTTACTGTGTTAGGAAAGGCCTTTGAGGAATCTCCACCATGAGCACAGATCAGAGGAGGGTTTCTCAGCCAACTGCATTTCCGTTCTTGCACCTGCACAATAATCACTGACTGTGATTGATTTGCAAAACCAAATCGAGCACATGATCTACCGTCACAATAATCTGGACATAGCTAGGTAGATTGAATTCACACAGCGCATTGCTAGCTCAATCACAACATCTCCCCGTTCTATATAATCTCATAGTAGCCAGAAGCAACAGATATTCACCAGTGTATCTCACATTTCGCTTCCATTATTTTTAGCCGGAAAACATTAACGATCTACAGTTTTGAACGAATCAATGAAGGTGAATTCAAAGCTGAAGATCATCTCCTATTTAATCTCGAGTGTTCAAGTTACAACAAATGCACAGATAAAAAAAATGCAAAAATAATCATTCAAAATTCAGCATAGTATACAAGGGGATGAAGGGAGTGAGCTTGCCTGATGGAAGCGGCGGAGTTTGAAATGAAAATAGAGAGGCGGGAGGATGGCGATGACGGCGAGGCTTATGAGAAGATACCGGAAGAGGCGCTTCCAGGAAGTAAGGCCTCTGAGGCTACCTAGCTTTGGCCTCTGAGACAAGAGACCGCCGCGCCTCACGGGGCGGAGCCGCCGTTGTTGCCGGTCCCATGTCGAGATAAACGGTTGTCGCTCCATCAATCGTCGATCGCAGAAATGGATGTGTTAATCCCTAATACCTGAGCAAACACTGGTTCTATACTGCTATCTCATGATCAATAGCATTCTCCTTCCCGACTGTGTCAGTTTTGTTCGTTGATTTTCAAACGGGTCGGGTCGATAAGCAGCCACTACCAAACGGCCAATAGTTATACCCTACACCACGGCGCGCGTAGCACTGTGAGCCGCGCGCCTCTCAAAACGATGTTGTTTTGGGGTCGTTTTGGGAGGCGCAGTAGGAAGTTGCTGTAACTATGTATATTTGTTCACACAATTATGTATATTTGTTCATACAATTATGTATATTTGTTTATATAGTTATGTACATTTTTTATACAATTATGTACAGTCTTTTTATACAATTATGTACATCCGAATCAAAAAATTTGTGTGTATTATGTTAAGAGTTGATGTGTATTATGTTAAAAGTTTATGTTTATTATGTATTATGTTAGATTATGTGTATTATCTTTTAAAAAGAGTGTGTATATTTTGTTATATACTTATGTACATTCATGTATACAATTATGTGTATTCTAGTATAACATTATGTACATTTTTGAACATGGGTTTTTTTAAAGAAAAAATAACTGCCATACACTGAGGCGGGAAATTTCAAAAAAAATAATAATAATAATAATTAAAACGACGTCGTTTTGCATCTGGGCGCACAGTGCAACGCGTGCCGTGGTGTAGGATATAAATTGCCACCAAATAGCCTACCAGCCAAACTCTCAATCCTATACCATGGACCAAATATGATTATGTACCTGAAAAAATTAGCAATTGTACTTTTATGTTATAAATTTTGTGTGGTGTGTTGTGAGATTCTGTGCCTATAAACACAAATTATGTACTTAAATATGATATGAAAAATAAGTAAATATATAACATGTGAATGTAGGGATGACAATGTGCCCCGTCCCCGACGGGGATCCTCGATCCCCGCCCCGAAAGAGACGGGAATAGGGAAGATTTTCGGGGAACGGGAATGGGGACGGAGAACATTTGTGATTCCCCGTTGGGGACGGGGACGGGGATGGGGACACCCCGCCCCCAAATAATTATATATATATATATATTACATATATAAATATTGTTAGTATAAGTGTACTGTTGTAGTTAATTACATATATATAAGTGTACTGTTATAGTTAATTACGTATATATAAGTGTACATATACTGCCACTTATATATATATATATATATATATATATATATATATATATATATATAAAAGTGGCAGTATTATTGCACTGTACTATATACACATGCAGTATGCTATATATATATATATATATATATATATATATATATATATATATATATATATTATTTTAATTTTTGAAATTATGATTTATATTTTAAAAATTTTATTATTAAAATTTAAAATTATTTAACATTTTGTCTAGAAGTTGACGGGGAGTGAGGAATCCCCGTTCCCGCCTAATTCCCCGTGGGGACGGGGATGGGGAATATTTCTAATTCCCCGCCGGGGATAGGGACGGGGACGGGGATGGGGATGAGATAGCGGGGATGGGGACGGGGAGTATACTCCCCGCCCCCGCCCCGCCCCGTTGCCATCCCTATGTGAATGTGTCTTATATTATGAAATTCAGGGCAAATTATATCGTGCACTAGGGCACACAATGCATTGTGCGCTCTGGCCCAAAACGACGTCGTTTTGTATTTTTTTTTTTTTTTTTTTTTTTTGAAATTCCATTTTCCGTGTCTGTTATTAACTTCTTAAAAAAATCTCATGTTTCGAATATACATAATTGTATAATAGAATATATATAATAGTATAATAGAATGTACATAACTGTATAACATAATACACACAATCTTTTTTAAAAGGATAATACACATAATCTAACATAATACATAATACACATAAACTCTTAACATAATACACATGAATCCTTAATTGTTAAAAAAAATTCTTTGTTTCGAATATACATAATGTAGATAATTGTATAACATAATATACATAAACTCCGCCGCGTCAACTCCCCACACAACTTAACAAAACAACGTTGTTTTGGTTAATCTTGATTGGTTGCTCTTGAATTGTTTGAGTGATTATTTCATGAGAATGAATATATTCACTCACATTATTTTGGGTTGAAATTATAGGAGTAATTCATTTCCTTCGTACGCAATCTTTCACACTTAATTGTTTAAGACCAAATTAATTATTTCTCCTTAGTTGACACTAGGTGATTAAACGCTTACCCCATAAAAATCTACTCTTCATTCTATTGTATCTCCAAGTTTGTTTCATTATCTTTTATTTTATTAATATTTGATTTTATTGAGCCATCTCTCGTGATCTTAGGAATAGCTTCTCACAAATAAATTACTAATAGCTAATGATTAATACCCCGCTTCTATGTGAATCGATAACCTCGGAATACTTCTGGTATTTGTTTGTTGTTCTGTACTGCAACCATGTATTAATCAAAATGCCTCCCAAGATGCAATAGCCAAGTGCAATTGTGGGTGCTCTAATTTATGCTCTAACTCTCATCAAGACACAAATATAACAATGAATTGAAACATGTAACAATTTGGATCCTTAATTACAAGTATCAAAAATATAAACCACAATTGCAACACAAGATATAAAATACAATACATATTTCATTGAGGAATTTAAGAACAATGCACATGGGTTCATAAACACATTTCACCCCAAAAAAAAAAAATCTCAAAATAAGCTTAGCCAACCATGGCTAACATTGTCTTCATTACACAAGGATTAAGGAAATTCAAGAAACAAAGAAGGTAAAAGAAAAGAGAAAAGATTCTTCCGATGTTCTTCCTAGCTTTTCCTTCGCCTTTCGGTGTGGCTTCAAGCTCCCAATATTCTCTTTTTAATCTTAGTGATTCTACTATTCAAATGTGTAAGGACCCCTCCTTTCACCTTTGAAAGGTGGATGAGCCACTATCTTCACTCTCTACGTCTTCTCAAGCCGCATCCAAACTTAGGGTTTAAAGATAGATGGTAGTATTTATAGTGGGGTAGAAATGAGGGCAAATATGAAAATTTTGCGTAGCAGAAAATTGTGGATCTGGAGCTACTCGACGCCTTGAGGCCTTGCCTCCACGCGTTGTACTAATACAGAATGAAATGTGGACCATTTTTGCCAACTCTTGACGCATCGAGAAAGCTCTGCAATGCAACTCCGACTTCCATGATGATTTTGGCCTTTTTAAATTTCGGTCTAGACTCCAGACTTTGAGGTCTTCGTAAGAGTTGTATCCCTTTAAGTATTGTTTCAAATGATGTAAAAATCACTTCATTTGGATATTCCTAAGTTGAGATATGGTCCAAATACCAAATAAACAGTGGTCAATCTGTGCAGGAATTTTAACTTCTTACTATTTTGTTCCACTTTTGTATTGGTTTGCCCAAATAATCAAGATCATTGAAAGTAACACTCTTTGGCTCCCTCAGAAGTATTTTAGCCACCCCTTAGCTTCGCCTTGGTTCCCATTGACTCGAGATTCATTCAAAAGGCATACGATTGTTTTCAATTCAACTATTTATACACGTAATAAAGATATAAACAAATGAATTAAGACACATTTTGAATAATATCAAAGTATCTTTCACTCAAAATATGTCTATATAAAAAATGGAAGCATGCACATAAATACACTTATCAATGGAGTGTTAAGCTGTGCAACCGTGTGCACCATGCATGCACACAGTTGCAAAAACGGCGTCGTTTTGACGTTCAACTTAAAAAAAGAAAAATTCAGTTTCGATTGTCGTTAACGGCGTTATGTTGTGCATAATTTGAACTATACATCCATAACTTCATAACTATAGATTCAGAATTGCATAACTACACATCCATAACTATACATTCAGAATTGCATAACTACACATCCATTAACTTCATAACTATACATTCAGAGTTGCATAACTACACATCCATAACTTCATAACTATACATTCAGAATTGTATGCATAACTACACATCCATAACTTCATAACTATACATTCAAAATTGCATGCATAACTACACATCCATAACTTCATAACTATACATTCAGAATTGCATAACTACACATCTATAACTTCATAACTATACATTCACAATGTAAAATTATAAAATTATGAACATATATTTACGTAATTAACGACAATCGAAAATGATTTTTTTTAAAAGTAAAACGATGCCGTTTTTGTAACCGTGTGCACCAACACGGTTGCACAGTATAATTTTCCCTTATCAATACACTACCACATTACATGTGAAAATCCATTCTAAAACAATTAAGAGAGTAGGTGAGTAGATAATACACTACCACGGTTGCACAGCATAATTTTCCCTTATCAATTCACTACCAAATTACATGTGAAAATCCATTCTAAAACAATTAAGAGAGTAGGTGAGTAGATAATACACTACCACGGTTGCACAGCATAATTTTCCCTTATCAATACACTACCAAATTACATGTGAAAATCCATTCTAAAACAATTAAGAGTGTAGGTGAGTAGATAATATTTATGTACTTTTTCCGTGAAAGAGAAGAAACCATTAATAATGATCACACCAGCTCACCAACATGCAATGTGGACGTACACATTCAAACCTAAGAAAAATCGCCAGCCTGTTTCGATTGATACTACGTAATTGCCCAAATGCCAGCCCACAACTTATATATTCCGCGCATCCGTATGCATCACGCACGGTGTAACGTACGGATGCAAAAACGGTGTCGTTTTATTTATTTATTTTTTTTTTAAAATTATTTTCGATTGCCATTAGTTACGTGGACATTCTAAATTTATTGTTATGAAGTTATGGATGTGTAGTTATGCAATTCTGAATGTATAGTTATGAAGTTATGGATCTATAGTTCAAATTATGCACAACATAAAGCCGTTAACGGCAACCGAAACTGATTTTTTATTTTTTAAGTCGGACGTCAAAACGACGTCGTTTTTGCAACCGAGCATAACGACTCTTATATATGTTAAAGTAAAAATTAAAGAGTTGAAAATGAAAGTACTTATAATAATTTTCTTAATTATGAGACATTTATCTATTTAAGTATGTACCGATTATTAGAAGAATTATCAATATTACCAATATTATGGCGGATATTGGGCCCACGAAGAAACACCCCAAGCTTCCATGCTCCACGAAGCTCCTTATCTCCGCCAGTTCTCTCGCGACGTCTATCTGTTTCCGCTCCGACGGTACCGTCAACCGCCGTCTCCTCCGTCTGCTCTGCCAGAGAGTGTCCGCTCCGATCACCACCGTCGTCGATGGAACCCCCGTGTCCTCCTCCGACGTCCAAGTGGAAGCTTCTAGAGACGTCTGGTTTCGCCTCTTTGTTCCCGTCGTTGACAAAGACGAGGAGGAGCAACAATCGTTGCCCCTGATTGTGTACTTCCACGGCGGCGGATTCATCTCTCTCAGCCCGGATTTTAAGTATTTTCACAATTTGTGCTGCCGTTTTGCCGCCACCGTCCCCGCCGTCGTCGCCTCCGTGAACTACCGCCTCGCGCCGGAGCACCGGTACCCCTGCGCGTACGACGACTGTTTCGACGCCTTGAAGTTCATCGACGCCAAAAACTACGCCGTTTTCCCGCCCATCACCGACTTCACGAGATGCTTCCTCGCCGGAGACAGCGCCGGAGGAAACATAGCGCACCACATAACCGTGAGAGCACTGAACAGCGTCACCGACTTCGAGAGGCTGAACCTAGCCGGACAGCTGTCACTCCAGCCGTTCTTCGGCGGAGAAGAGCGGACGGAGTCGGAGCTCCGGCTGAGGAAAGCTCCGGTGCTTACTCTGGAAGATACGGACAGGATGTGGAGGACGTTTTTGCCGGACGGCACGAACAGGGACCACGCGGCGGCGCACGTGTTCGAGGAGGAGTTGCCGGAGAAGTTTCCGAGGACGCTGTTGATCGTCGGAGGGTTTGATCTGTTGCAGGATTGGCAGCGGAAGTACTGCGAGAGGCTGAGGAAGTTTGGAGTGGAAGTGAAAGTGGTTGAGTATCCAAACGGCATACATGGGTTTTATAGCTTCGCTGAGTTGCCTGAATCTGCTATGCTCCTTAAGGAAATCAAAGACTTCATGCAAACCTAAGCCCTCCCTCAATGATCCATTCAATAAAACAGGTAACAGGCTATATGATTGATTTTTTATTTTTATTTTTTTATAATTTTATGTCAACCAGGCATTGTGTTCTGGGTCTTTCTCTATCCGTTTAACGGTCCAGGTCCACCCGGTTCGCTCCGAGAGACACAGGCTATGATTGATTGATTATTATCACTACATTAATAATAATCAATCAATCATAAAATGTTGTGTCAAATGAATTTTATACCATCTAAATACCTTTAATAAAATTATTCTTATGAAACTTTCATATTTGTAACTCAACTATCTTTTTTTCCACTATTATTTATCAATTTTTAGTCCTTTCGATTTTTTTTTTTTTTTTTTTTTTTTTTTTTTTTGGTGGTGAGGAAAACTTGTAATCATTACTTTAAACTGTGCCTTGGGTAGGTAAATTTTGCATTGTCACCCTAATCGGCAAAAGACCACAGAGAGGTAAACCAAATTAGATTGTCCAAAACTAATTGGCTCAAACCAAGAAAATCAATAAGTTATTGGTGGGTATATATAGGACTGAAACTCCATGTAATTAAGGGGAATGGTGTCAAAGTTGATGTATGAGATGTATAAATTACAAGGAAAGGATGATAATGGTTATGCTACAATTAAGTAGCGAAAATCACTTAAGAAGTTGCCGTTCCCTATGTCGATCCTATACAGTACAGGACTCTTGCAGGCGTTCTTCAGTATCTTACGGTAACTTATCCTGATTTATCTTATGCTATTAATCTCTTGTGTCAATACATGCATGCTCCCACTACTACGGATTGGGCCTCTCTAAAAAGAGTCCTGCGGTATGTCAAGGGCACCCTGAATCTTGGTCTGCATATTTCGCAGTCTACATCTATAGATATTCACGCATATTCTGACTCAGATTGGACTGCCGATCCGAATGATCGCAAGTCTACTAGTGGTTTTGTTGTGTTCTTGGGCAGTAATCTTATATCTTGGGTTTGTCGGAAGCAACGGACTGTGGCATGTTCCTCAACTAAAGCAGAATAAAGGGACTAGCTGATGTATCTGCAGAGGTTACATGGCTTGTTTCCCTGTTACACGAAATCGGCATCCCTCCTGCGTCTCCTCCTCGACTATGGTGTGATAATTTGGAAGTTACTTACTTATGTGCCAATCCAGTGTTTCATGCCCGCACGAAGCACATTGAGATTGACTATCATTTTGTTCGCAATAAAGTAGCTAAAAATGAGTTTGAGGTGCACTTTATTTCAACCAAAGATCAACTAGCGGATATCTTTACAAAGTCTCTTTCATCTCTGCGTTTTAATTCTCTCCGTGACAAGCTCAATGTTTTGGCTACCCAACCTTGTGCTTGAGGGGGGGTATTAGGACTATATTATTCATATTAGACCAGGACTATATTATTCGTGTTAGACTATGAGTCTATCTAGTATCTATATATTCGCTCTGTACTCTTAGACATTATGATTGAATACAATACTTTTAGGGTTCGTATGGAAAGCAGGAAAATGACTTCTGGAAAATGTTTTCTGGAAAAATGAGTCATTTTTTCGGAAAACGTTTTCCTTTCTCGTGTTTGGCTGCACAACAGAAAACTGTCTTTGTGTGTTTGGCCCATTTTCTGGAAAATGATGTAGAATTGTATAATTAAACATTTTTTATAATTAATTATTTTGTTTAAAATATATTAAATTTACAATAATATTATAAATAATAATATTTATTTTTAAATCAAATAATATTATTTATTAAAAAATAACAAAAAAATGACGGAAACGAGAGAGTAAAACTCTCTGGTTTCTGTCGTTCTCTCTGGTTTCTGCCGAAAACCAGAGAGCAATACTTACTCTCTAGTTTCCGGCCGAAAACCAGAGAAAAGCTCTCTGGTTTCTGGACGGAAACCAGAGAGGATTGCTATCTGGTGTCCGTCATGGTCCCGGCCGCGAGGCATGGCGCGTCAGGTGCAAACGGCGCCGTCGACGTCGATCTGTTCACCGCCTTCACAATCACCATGGCTCACCGATCAATCCAACAACGAAGACGTCCTCCCTCGTGTGTAGAGATTTCGAAATGGATCTAGGGTTGGGTTTGAGAATTGGGGGAATTCACAGTGTTGTTGTTGTAGGCAGAGACGACGGTGGTTGTTGTTGTAGACAGACGAAGGTGGTGGTGGTTGTTGTAGACAGACGAAGGTGGTGGTGGTTGTTGTAGACAGACGAAGGTGGTGGTGGTTGTTGTAGACAGACGAAGGTGGTTGTTGTTGTAGGTCAAAGAAGCCTTCCGGAAAATGACTCCCCCCCCCCCCCCGCCCCCCCCCCCCCCTTACATACATTATCATCGATTCATTCATTGATATTGTATATATGTTCATTCATTAAATATTTTAGAACCCTTTGCAACAAAAATACTTAATTGGTTACTATTTAAAAAAAAAAAGTTTAGTAACAATTATAATGAATCGCCTATATTATATTGTATTCATATACTATGAATTACATATTTAAATAAACAAATTAGACATTAAATTACTTATGTTGAATTTCTCATATATAGTTTTGCATTTATATACTTTCAAATATTTATTTAATTATAAACATTGGATAGAAAAATGACTGTCAAATTATTAAATTAAATGAATAGTTTCATATTTTAATTTTTAACACTGGGTAGAAAAAATGATCGTTAGTCTAATTCTAATATTAAAGTCTAATATAGAATTATAACTACAACATTAATCTAATCCTAATATTAAAGTCTTAACTCTTAATAGAACTCTAACCCCAAATCCTACTGCCGGAATCTCCTCAAACAATATTAGTATATATTTAATATTTTATGCTTTAATTTTTATTTGCTTTCCCTTATGTCTCGTATTTTGTTTCAACCATACTCATACAATTATTTTATTGACAATTATAATCAATCTGGACTATATTATCTTGCATTTGTAAACTTAAAATTACAAATTTAAATACGCAAATTTAACATTTAATTATCTATGCATGAACAATTCTAATATAATCTTGCATTGATATACTTTAAAATATTTATTTAAGAAAAACATTTGGGCATTATCTCAATCATGCAATGCGCTTAAAAAATTAGTGTCTATATAAAGAATGGAAGCATGCTGATGAGAAATACACTTATCAATGCACTACCAAAGTACATGTCAAAATCCATTCTAAAACAATTAAGAGAGTAGGTGAGTAGATAATATTTATGTATTTTTTCCGTTAAGAGAAGAAACCATTAATAATGATAACACCAGCTCACCAACATGGCAACATGCAATGTGGACACATTCAAACCTAAGAAAAATCGCCAGCCTGTTTCGATTGTTCCTACGTAATTGCCCAAATGCCGGCCCACAACTTATATATTCTCCAGATTGACAGTACAAATCGCAAATTATGCTGTGCAACCGAATGCACCTTGCAAGGTGCATACGGTTGCAAAACGGCGCCGTTTTGGTTAAAAAAACGCGCGTCCCACTTAAAGAAGAAATCAGGTTCAATTCCCGGCAATAGCATTTTTATATATCCAGAAATTCATAACTATATATCCACAATTTCATAATTATATATCCACAATTTCATAACTATATATCCACAGTGAATGAATGAAGTAAAAATCCACAATGAATGAATGAATGAAGTAAAAATCCACAATGAATGAATGAATGAAGTAAAAATCCACAATGAATGAACTAAATATCCACAACATATGATTGAACTAAATATCCACAATGAATGAACTAAATATCCATAATTTCATAACTATATAACCACAATTTCATAACTATATATCCATAATTTCATAACTATATATCCACAGTGAATGAATGAAGTAAAAATCCACAATGAATGAATGAATGAAGTAAAAATCCACAATGAATGAATGAATGAAGTAAAAATCCACAATGAATGAACTAAATATCAACAATATATGATTGAACTAAATATCCACAATGAATGAACTAAATATCCATAATTTCATAACTATATAACCACAATTTCATAACTATATATCCACAATTTCATAACTATATATCCACAATAATGCTATTACTGAGAGTCGAACCTGATTTTTTTTTTTTTAAGTGGGACGCGCGTTTTTAATCAAAACGACGTCGTTTTGAACCGTATGCACCATGCGCATGGTACATTCGGTTGCACAGCATAACTATTGCAGTACAAATGCAGGTGAAAATAGATTCCTAAAATAAATATTGACTAATATGTTTGGATGAAAACAGACTTCCAAAATAAGATGCTGATGACTGATTTGATTATTTCTTTAAAAAGTAAAAAGCAAGAATTGATCTATTTCTTTAAAAGTGGTTAACTCTACTTATAAATATGTGCATTAATTATAGAATTTTATTGCATGATGTGACAGATATTAATAAGTTATTTTTTTATTTGAATTTTATTTAATACAATTGGATTTTCTTATTTTACATGTTAGAGTAAAAGTTAGAGAGTTAAAAATGAAAGTGGCATAGTATTTTTCTTAATTATAAAAACATTTAGCTATTTAAGTACGTACCGATTATTAGAAGAAATTATCAATATTACCAATATTATGGCGGATATTGAGCCCACGAAGAAACACCCCAAGCTTCCATGCTCCACGAAGCTCCTTATCTCCGCCCATTCTCTCGCGACGTCTATCTGTTTCCGCTCCGACGGTACCGTCAACCGCCGTCTCCTCCGCCTGCTCTACCCGAGAGTGTCCGCTCCAATCACCACTGTCGTCGATGGAACCCCCGTGTCCTCCTCCGACGTCCAAGTGGAAGCTTCTAGAGATGTCTGGTTTCGCCTCTTTGTTCCCGACGTTGACAAAGGCGCCTCCTCCTCGGAGGAGGAGAAACAATCGTTGCCCCTGATTGTGTACTTCCACGGCGGCGGATTCACCTCTCTCAGCCCGGATTTGAAGGTGTTTCACAATTTGTGCTGCCGTTTTGCCGCCACCGTCCCCGCCGTCGTCGCCTCCGTGAACTACCGCCTCGCGCCGGAGCACCGGTACCCCTGCGCGTACGACGACTGTTTCGACGCCTTGAAGTTCATCGACGCCAAAAACTACGCCGTTTTCCCGCCCATCACCGACTTCACGAGATGCTTCCTCGCCGGAGACAGCGCCGGAGGAAACATAGCGCACCACATATCCGTGAGAGCACTGAACAGCGTCACCGACTTCGAGAGGCTAAACCTAGCCGGACAGCTGTCACTGCAGCCGTTCTTCGGCGGAGAAGAGCGGACGGAGTCGGAGCTCCGGCTGAGGAAAGCTACGCTGCTTACTCTGGAAGATACGGACAGGATGTGGAGGCTGTTTTTGCCGGACGGCACGAACAGGGACCACGCGACGGCGCACGTGTTCGAGGAGGAGTTGCCGGAGAAGTTTCCGAGGACGCTGTTGATCGTCGGAGGGTTTGATCTGTTGCAGGATTGGCAGAGGAAGTACTGCGAGAGGCTGAGGAAGTTTGGAGCGGAAGTGAAAGTGGTTGAGTATCCAAACGCCATACATGGGTTCTATAGCTTCGCTGAGTTGCCTGAATCTGCTATGCTCCTTAAGGAAATCAAAGACTTCATGCAAACCAAAACCTAAGCCCTCCCTCAATAATCCATAGAATAAAACAGGTAACAGGCTATGATTGATTGATTATCACTACATTAATAATAATCAATCAATCATAAAATGTTGTGTCAAATGAATTTTATATCTAAATACCTTTAATAAAATTATTCTTATGAAACTTCCATATTTGCAAATCAACTACGGAGTATCTTTTTTTCCACTATTATTTATCAATTTTTAGTCCTTCCAATCATTTTTTTTGTGATGAGAAAACTTGTAATCATTACCTTAAAGTGTGCACTGGGTAGATAAATTTTGCCTTGTCACCTAGTTGGAAAGGGACCACAGAGAGGTAAACCAAACTAAATTGTCCAAAACTAACTCGCTCAAACTGAGAAGATCAATAAGCTGTTCCCACTAAGAGTTGGACTTAGAACTAAAAGTAATTTAAAAATTTTCAAAATTGAAGGGCTAATAGTAAAAAAAATAAATAAATAAAATAAAAAAAAAATAAAAGGTGAGATCTATAAGTGAAATGTCACAATAAAGTCAAAGTACTAACCGAACTACTTAGCAAAATTATTCTTATGAAACTTTAATTTTTTATCTGTGTAAATTGATCATCAAAGTAGCTAGAAAGGATAGTTAAAGTTAATTGATGGGTATAGGACTGAAACTCCATGTAATTAAGGGGAATGGTGTCAAAGTTGATGTATGAGATGTATAAATTACAAGGAAAGGATGATAATGGTTATGCTACAATTGAGTAGCAGGAAAAACCAGGAAAAGGAAAAGCGGCCCTTGGCAGAAAAATTCCCAGAACTATAAATACTCAGGAAAACCAACAGCCTTAGAAATGCTAAGATCCCAAATATTAAACATGCCACAAATATAACTATTGATCCTTTATTCTCCATGAATACCTGGTTCTGCCAAACTTCTTCCATCTTCATTCTGCATATTGGCACCCCACAGGTTAGAATAACACATATATACACCAACCAGTATATATGAAACAAGAAGAGCTGGCCAAGAGCAAAGAATTGATTGATCATCATATTAGGAGGAAATTTCACATTGTTTTCAATCATGCATAAAAAATGACAGGCAATAAAGTTTTCATCCCTCTCCTCTTTGGGGTAAAATTAAATGGACACAACCCTAATTAGAATGGAAGGACATATAAGTTGACTCTAAACAAGATGATAGCAAGGAGAAATTTGGTGTTGATAAGGAGGGTTCATGGGATCCAGGATATAGTCTAACAAAGTCGGGAAACTTGGGTTATTAGAAGAAGAAATTTGGTGTCCTATATTGTCGTATATAATGGTGTCTATCATATCATGTATGTTATTTGTGAATTGTGAATGCCTTCATGTTTACTAGTATATTCATAGATCTTCAAAAAAAAAAAGTTTTAAAAAAATAAATGAGCACGATAAGATGTCAATCAATTAAAGTGTTTTACGTTGTTTTGAAATATAGTCACATTAAGATACCAAACTATAATAGATGATATATTGTAATGTGCAAAATATTTGGTACAAGTATCATTGTTCGAGGTAAAATATTTGCTTTATAGGCACAATAGAGAGAAGAGTGAGTGCTTGTGTGGAGAAAATAGGTGGGAAGCCAAATAAGACTGCCAACAAAATCAATTTCAGCCAAAGAAATTATAGTAAGGTGAGGACAAGGAGCTAGTGTAGATGATCTTAGGTAAGAAACCCACCTGAGATTAGCATTGTCCCTGATTAAATGCTCAAGCTCCATGGAAACAAGGGATTTCCAAGAGACAAGATTATTGACTTCCTTATTCTGCATGCAAGATCAGAGATACTGGTTAGAATATATGAAAGCCATTCTGCCAACATTGACAGTAAACAACAAGGAATATAATAATCATGATAAGAAATGAACATACTATTGTCTCCTTGCTCTCAAGTAAACCCCTCATCTCTAACAAGAACTTGTCCATAAGGAAATTTCCCTCTTCCAAGTCTTTGTCAATTTCTTTGAAAGCCTTCCCATACCTAGAATTCAACTCCTCTAGATACCTCTCCAGAAATGACAGATTTATATCTAGGGACTTAATCTTTTTCATCAGAATCTTGTAAACACTGTCACCAGGCATCCTGTTCACATGTAAACTGCGAATTTCCCCGGGTGGGTCAGACACTGCAACTGTTGTCACTGGTTTAGCAACTGCATCAGAAGTTTCAACTGCAAGCCCTGTCTGCAAATCATCACCATCTGCATTTTGACAAGGTTCTCCTTCAGAAGATTTGTGGGTACTGCTTTTCTGATCAGAAGTACACAGCTTAGCTGGAACAGACACAAGCTCCTCAAGCATCTTTTCCACAGCATCCACTCCATACACTTCCAGCAAGCTTAAGGTACAATAGAATTCTGAACCATAATGACTCAGTATCTTCAGCTTCAGATACCTAGCCCATTTTGGGTCTGGAAGAGCAAACCTTTGAGCATGCTTGACATTTGCAGCAGTAAAACTACCAAGTTTATCCCACGAATCAGCGGGGTAAACGAGACTGCCCAGCAACTCAATCTCCCTTGGATTGGATGAGTAGTGCTCAAAGTTTGCTATTTCTACTGTATCCACTAAAGTTTCTTCTGACAGTTCTACAACGACAAACTTCTCGGCGGCAGAGCAAGGATTCCTAAGGTACTCATCCTTATCTCTGCACAGCACATTAGAAGCTCCCTTGGCTTCCTTGTTGTAAGCCAAGACCTTGGCTCCTCTTGAAGCAGAAGCATAATTGTAATCTGCCCCACCTGGCTCCATCCTATGCACTATGCTCCCTGGATTACCAGTCATTACATCTCCACTTTTACTATCAAACGCTTTGCTTCTGAACTCTCCCAACCCTAGAGTGACCGACCTAAAAAACCTGTCCGATTGCGATTTCCAATCTCCGGCTTTCTCCTCAATAGAACTGACAGAATTTCTGTTAGATTCACTCAGAACAGTCTCCATTTCAGTCACACCTTCTCTGGAATTGTTGCTCCTGGAGAGATTCTCGTCCGCCAGGATAACAACACGCCTGCGATCTTCATCCCAAGCTCTACTTCTACATTCTTCAATCAGGTCCGTCAAAATCCATCGCAGAGACATGCAATGATGAGAAGGAGATTTAGGCAAAACTGCAGAGGAGTTTATGAACTGAAGGATTATTTGATAGTGAACAGACCTTGATAAACGTCGCCATGACTGATCCACAGATTGAAAAGGAAGAGAATCGCCCAAAGCAAGATCACGAGAGCGAGAGAAACATTGTAGACGAGATTTCTCCCTTTTTCCGAACCTATTCTTCGCAGAACCGCCCTGCGTGATCTCTGCATTGCTCATCAATCCAATCCGCTGGTCCTGCATTTTCTCGTTAGATCAAGCAAATTAAACACCTGCGTTACACGATTAGATCACCTGAAATTCAACAAAGGAAACACGCAATTCACCTGAAATCCAAGGTGAAAAATCAAGAGGGCAAGAGAACTGGATGATCTTCAGAACCCAAAACCCAATTTCTCTGAATGCGCATTGGTCCACTAATTCAAATCCAAAAAACTTTATCTATTTATTTATTTATTACTCCGTATTTAGTTACAAGTTCAGAGTGCACATTTAACATTTTTCCCTTTTTCTGACGCATCATAACGACTTTGCTACGCCCAACATTCCACCACTCTCTCTTCCACATCTCTGTTTTTTAACACAAAAATTGTGGTAAAAATTCCATCGTCACTCGTCGCGAGATCTCGAAATGACCGCTCTCTATGATTGACTAATTATCCAATTATGAATCTCACACCTCCATTATTTTTATTTTTATTTTTATTTTTAAATGAGGAAAAACTCACTGCCATTGTTGGATACGGTGCACCAGGTAAACACCCTATTATAACTTTAGCAAGTTTTTCACACTTTTGGTCACACGATTATAGTGACACTAGCAGGATTGATCTACGACTTTCATATCTTGCAATCATGGTCAACAACTATTGTTTTTTTTTTTTTTTTTTGCAAAAATGATCCTTCTGGCGTATTTTCTATCAATTTCTCACCGGAGTAAGAACCATTTCGACCAAAATGGGCCGAAAAGTGGATTGGAAGGACCATTTTTGAAAAAAAAATAATAGTCGTGAACCGATATTGCAAGATTTTAAAATCGTGGATCAATCCTGATAATGTCACTATAGTCGTGGGACCAAAAGTGCGTAAAACTCTAACTTTAGCTATCAAAGGATTACAATTAATTAAACTAGTCTAAATTGTTTTGACTGACTCAAATCAAGAAAAAGTAATAGGTTGCTCGGTTAGCTCCTACTTGGGGTCTAACGAATTAATGTCTACATCAAAAGTTTTAAGTGAGAAAGTATTAGGGAGTCCAATTATAATTTTTCAGATTCAATGAGAAGGTGTGGAGAGATGTTGGAGTCATGACAATCGTTACGAATCAGAAGTGACAGTCAATAACTAAATTGTGTAGCGGATATGCGATGTAGTTTATCAGTAAGATGAAGCCACCTGGCACCCTGAAGATTGAGAAGTGATTAAGGTGATTTGTTTACGTTTACCGGATACTCTATCTAATGAATCTTTAATATACTAAAATGAATATGTATAAATGATTCACCTTATAATGCATGCCATGATATAGAGTATAATTTGCCAAATTCTGCTTGTGAAGCCACATAACATTTATTTATAAATGAAAATATAACAGAAATTGATTCTTCAGAAGGTAGGGAAAAAAGAAACTATAAAACCTAATTAAGAAATACATTTTATTTAAAAATAAAAATAAATAAAAGGCACATTTTTATGTGGCTTCAACTTGGGGTACATTTTGAATTTAATCAAATTCTAGGGAGTTGGACCGCATTTCTCATTTTTGCAGCTGGTTATACAGGTATCCTGTTTCTCTTCATCTGCAGTAATAAAATAAAATAAATAAAGAAAATCAGTTAATTATATCAAATATTTTTAGAGTTAATACCATCTAGGGTCCTCCAAGTATAGTGATTTTGACACGTTTAGTTCTAAACTTTCAAATTATCACTTATGGTCATTCGAGTTTCAATTGTTATCATCCGTAGTCCAAGTTAACCACCTATGGTCCTTCGACTTTTAAAATTTAACCAGTCGTGGTCCTTCTGGTCCTCCTAGAAGGACCAAGGGTGGTGAAAATTTGATAGTTGAAGGACCTTATGTGGTTAACTTGGACCACATATGGTAAAAATTTGAAAGTCGAAGAACCATAGGTGATAATTTAAAAATTTAAGACTAAACATGACAAAATTACTATACTCGGAGGACCCTAGATGGTATTAACTCAATATTTTTATGACATATATATAATGGATAGCGTACCATTATTGTTGTTGCGGGTGCTTTGACTAGACACGCATTGGTTAAGACAGTCGAGGGTACAATGGAAGACGGGACGCGAGGGGAGCGGCGGATCGCAGTGCTTCGGGCAGAATTTCAGGCAGGCCGGGGCTGGCAATCCGACCACCCTACATTCCCTCATGCACATTGCGATGCACCCCAGTTTCGCGAAGTTCGCGGAAGCGGATGGCGCCGCCGCCAACACAACCACCCAGGCCAACACCGCCGCCGCAATTAGCTTCATCATTTTCCCCGCCATGCCGATCGATATATATGATATTTCTTCTTCTTCTTCTTGAGTTTGTTGAGGGAAAAGGGGGATTAGGAGCAGAGATTTTATAGGGAGAGGTTGCCGTGTCGTAATCTTGGTTGGATTGATTTAGGTAGTTCATTTGGATGATATGGGATGGGAAGTAAGTGTGAACGCCATTGATATATATGTTGAAGAAGGTTAAGTATGGTTCGTTTCATCCCATAAATTTTTTGATGTATCATGTAAAGCACAACTGATGCTAACTGGTTAACAAAATATTAACACGTAGATGATGGGGCATACTAATTAAATTTCATAAAGTTGTACCTGGCACTCAAAGGGGTGAGGTCAAATGCGTAAATATAATGAATTAACCCTAGACTATAATAATTTTTTTCAATTTAATTGACTATAATAATTTTTTTTTTTAAATTTAATCTACTTTAAAGAATTAAAGACTTGAGTAAATCAAGAGAAATCACTATAATTAAAAACTAAATTGAATATTAACTCAAAATATAATTCTTATACTTGAAAATCAATCTATCCAAGTTCATTACACTATTTTTTTTAGAACACTTTATTTTTCTTATATAATTTGTAAACTACTACACAAAGTTAAAACTTACCACATGCACATTCTCAAATTGTAACTACAAATTAAAAAAAAATAATAATAATAATAAATTGCACCCTAGAGTCTATGAAAGGTAAAAAAAAAAAATGAAAGGATGAAAGTAAAATTTGGTCCTTTTATAATACTCAATAGAGGTTAAAAACATAAATTTAAGTAAAGAATCCATTTAACATTAAACAGAAGCAACACTAAACACACTATTTGCTTTCTGAAGTTTTTCAAGCCTTAACAAGCTATCCTCTACAAAAATTTTGCTCAACCAGGAAGAACGAAAGCGGGGGAGATTGTGATTGTCTTTCAATTTGAGAAGCTGCTGCACTTTAACCTTAAATCTTGATATGGAAGTAATCAGCGTCGAAATGATGTAATCTCACATACCCATCTTCACCACCACTCGCAAAACTATAGGCAAACCACAAGATTATATCAAAATCTGTCTATATTATAAAAGCAAATAAGCTCATCACAGAAAGTTGTGATGGGGGATGTAGTCTCAACCACTGAAGTCCTAAACCGGTAATTAAAAGGTTAAAACAGATACCTGGAGGGTATGGTTTAACATGAAAGCTCAGCACAAAAAACGAAGTATAAATATTTCAACATAAGTAATGGCTAGCTAGTATGTTCATGTAATAATAAATAGAACAAAATATTACCTTTTCCCGTCAGGGTTGAAAGCCAAAGCATTAATTGGTCCAAAGTGCCCTTTGACGCCACCGATTTCTTCTTGAAGAATCTAGGAAACACAGTAAAGAACATATTTTCAACACGTGCTTGATAGTTGATACCAGAGGAACTACCAAAACCACCAATATGTTACTCTAGGTAGAAGGCCTCAAGTTTAATACCAACCCCACAATTGTATCAAAAGGGGAACTAGAACTATCAAAACGATCAATATAAGTATATAACACTATATATTTCTTACCTTATCATAGAATTTAGCCTCAAACTTCCCAGCACGATGGTCAGTGGTTGTTACAGCAGATGCATCTTGACCACCTCCAAGCACAATCTAAATAGCAATAAAGCACATTAAATATGAAGGCATACCTCATACGATGATTGTATCTCATGCATAGCGAAATTATTATAATGTTGCCAATTCCCAAGGAAAGGTTAAAACTTTGACTTGCCCCTTGTTAATATTTGCTGTTATAGTTACACCAACACTCCGAAGAATAAAGTAAGCTAGTAAGCTAATGCCAATTCAGTTTAATTGTCCCTTTTCTGTTCCAAAAATTCCTTAATACTAGGACAATAATATCAGAAATAATTCAGAGATTTTCTCAAGTTAAGAGTTAATGATTTCTACCAGTCACCAGCCATGTCTGTATTTGTATTCGTTTCTGAATTTTCATTTTTATTATAACTTTCTTTAGACTAGCAACAATAACCAAGCTTACATTTTCAACATTTACAGAAAAAGGCAGCATGTAAAGCATGATACAGAATAAATGGAGAAAATTTTGTTAGGAGTCACAAACAATGAATATTGCACAAAGATTTTGGTGATAAGTAAATGACAGAAGGAAAAACAGCACAAAGATTTTTATTTTTTTTTTGTGACAAGGACAACAATGAACAAAGACTAAGTTAAGATTAGTGGTGTGTTTTACATACATGATCCAGCAGTGGTGACATTGTAACTGCATTCACTGGGCGCTCAGTCACATAGGTCTTAAGAAGTGTCAAGGTTCTGATATCCCAGAGCTGGCATTTATATAAATATATATTAGTCATCAGTAGGAAGAGAGAGAACACAAAAAACACAGGGAGAGAAACAGTGACTCAAATTAGGGGGTTGATGGCCAAGTTACCTTTGCTGATTTATCCAAAGAACCTGTTATAAAATGTGATCCATCTATTGATTTTGCCAGAGAAGTAATCCCCTTCTTGTGACCAGATTCCTGGTCAGACTCCTTAAGTAGTTTTCCAGTCTGTCAATTTTTAAAGGAAATAAAAACTCCTGGCTTCAAGTAAACTAGTAAAGCCATCTTTGGAAATTCAAATGGAAGGAAAAATATTTCCAACAAGTGACTACAAACTCAACAACTGGAAAACCAAGCAAGTACTTGGAGAAGCTGAAATTCTACTTCTAAAGTTCACACCACACTCTTTCCTCATAAAACAATATACTAAACATACCTCAGCATCCCAGATGCGAAGAACAGAATCTTCACCACCACTTATAATTGTCTTATTCAAAGGTCCCCAAACAGCTCTATTGATCCTTCCCTGGTGGCCCTTCATGGTAAGCACAGATTCACCCGTTTCTGAAATAGAAGTAGATGGTTTTTTAGCGGTTGATGATCAGTAAAATCATCATTTGACTAAGGCAACTGAGTGTTTAAAAAAAATTAAAAGAACTAAATGCACATGTTGGATGCATAATCAAGACCATAAATGTTTCACCAAAACATCAAAAAACACTTCACCCCACCCTTCAACCTCGAGAAGGGTAAATGCTAAAGGTCACAGACTCTCCCACCCGCATATCCACCAATGGAAAAGGTAAGTACAGATGTATGTGATTGTGCATGAGTTTTTAATAACTTAATTTGTCAAAAGATATAATATCATGTTTTAACAGAATGATAATAGAGAGACAGATGAATTGGCTAAAAACGCACCATAATACACTTAAATACCATACAATTCAAGCTACAAAACTCCCTAGCACAACTACAGCAACACAAACAAACAAACATACATGGATATATCATGTGTGTGTATTCTACTACATTATGGTCCAAGACAGCATTTTTCAAAATTTCCTTGCTTCAACTCTTCATATGGAGAAATAGATTATTCATTATTCCCAAAATATTTTGTTTAAACATGACAATCTAAATTTCAGAAACTTTAACACCAAAAAGATGCACAAACTTACGGTCTTCAGGGTCGCTAGCAATTCTCTTTACATGGATAGCAGAAGGCAGCCCCATGAATGGATCAGTGGTCATGACTGCAAGCTTATCCCCAACAGCAAAGTCCACAGACCTTCCAGGTGAGTCAAAGTTGAAAGTAAACAGTTGAGTGCCCGTCTTAACATCCCAGAGCTTAACCGTCTGGTCCGCACTCCCAGTAATTAACCTACTTGAATCCCCTGTACACAAAATCAAAACCATAGTAAATCATCCAACCAATTTGTTAGTCTTCAGCTCTTCCTCTCCTCCCTCCCGCCAAATATACAGTGCTCGTGAAGTTTATACGATGAGGAATGCAAAACCGCGTTCACTTACGAAACTATGCAAACTATGCAATCTAAGAGAATAAGCATAGAAAAGAAGCTATACGAGAGATGTCGCAGCACCAAACGGCGCCGTTATGGCCGCGGTAAGTTCCGAGGCGTTCGCCGTTGTCGGCGAACCAGACGGTGGGGTTGTGGTCCTTGGCGCAGGAGAAGAGCAGATCTCCTTCCCGGTTGTACTTGAGGAAAGTGAGCGGCCTCTCGTGCCCCTTCATCAATATCGGCCTCATCTTCTTATTTCGACTCTGCAAATTCTTCTGATTTCCAAAAAGTTTGATTCGATGGGAGAGATAGAACAGAAAAACCCTAACTGCAGTTCTACCTCACCGCTAGAAGAAGAAAGGTGGAAGAAGAAAATAGAAAGAGTATTCGGATCCAGTTCGGATTGTGACTGCCTTGACCCGATAAAGCCTTTGGGTTACACTTTGTGGGCTTGTGAGATGCAAAGCCCAGTAGCCCACTGTCGAGCCCATAAGAAATATCTACCATTTAATTTCTTTGTTTTGTTTTAAAAACTCATATAAAAATATATACCCTTCACCGCCAAATTATACCGTGCACCAGGGCGCACAATGTATGCATTGTGCGCCCTGGCCCAAAACGATGTCGTTTTGTACTTTTTTCGCGTGTTTACTGTTAACCTCTTAAAAGAAATTCATGTTTCGAATGTACATAATTGTATAATAGAAAACACCGAATTTTATACCTGAAAACACATAATTTTTATAACTGAAAATCCTCATGTTTCGAATGTACAGAATTATATAATAGAAAACATAAAATTTTATACCTGAAAGCACAGAATTTTATACCTGAAAACACAGAATTTTATACCTGAAAACACAGAATTTTATACTTGAAAACACATAATCGTTTTTAAAATGATAAAAATCTCCTGTTTTGAATGTACAGAATTTTATACCTGAAAACACAGAATTTTATAACAGAATATAAAACGACATCGTTTTGGGAGGCGCGGCCCGCACATTGCTATGTGTGCCTTGGTGCACGGTATAATGATTGCCCTTCACCGAGTTGCTATACCATGGAGTAGGGTCCACCTTGCAATGTGGACCCTGGTCCTAAACGACATATAAATTGTGCATTTTTAGTATTGGAATTGTAAACTTCTAGAATATAAATTGTGTTTCTAAGTCAAAACACATAACAAATGTAGAAGGAAATTTGTGAATACAATACATGGTCATCAAATCCTAATATGTTAATATTG